CATAATCTAGTTTAAAATTCCTCAGCTAGGCTACATCTCTCTAGTAACAGCTACAACAAGAGACATCTCCTCCGAATGGAGGTGATTGGTCACATTCCCCTGCCACTTACAAGCATGCCTCGAAGGTATTAGAACTGTTCTCTTCACGCTCCAGCATTTGGACAACCTGCGCCACACCTTCAGCAATTTCCCTCTGAATGACCCCATCTGGCATATCAAAGGTCCTCCTCCTCATGGACAGTGATTTTCCAGCAGGCTGGGGGTCAACCGCATCGAGCATTGCTTCCAGCTCATCCACCATCGACCTCTTCGCAGCTCTCACCATTACATCAGCGCCCTAATATATCCAAATTGGCAAAACCCCATTACATTCAGTAACTTAATCATTGCTTTGACATGGAGTAAAACAAAGTGAAACAAGGAACCTAACAAGTGTGCACATTTAGAAATACCAAACTGTGTGCAGTGTGCATATCTGTACGAGACATTGTTGTCAACAATAGAAAGATCAAGGGTTGGTTGATAACACTCTGATCATCTAATATTGGAGTAAACAGTTGACACATTTTCAGTAACTTAATCATTGCTTTGACATGGAGTAAAACAAAGTGAAAACAAGGAACCTAAGTGTGCACATTTAGAAATACCAAACTGTGTGCAGTGTGCATATTTGTACGAGACATTGTTGTCAACAATAGAAAGATCAAGGGTTGGTTGATAACACTTTGATCATCTAATATTGGAGTAAACAGTTGACACATTTTCAAGAACATATTGCAGAATTCAGTTTTATGTTAGGTAATGTCTTCCTTGGTTCTCACAGGGTAGCGTTTAGTATTAAGAACCAACCACTAATTCACACATCTTTTGACCAAATAAAAGTTCAATACATGCTGAAGAAACAAAAATTCATAAAAAGACGACGTCAATTATTCAACAAGGTTCTAACAGACGCGGTACTAATAATCATCAAACAAGTATCGTAACCAGAGATGATATCATTTTCATTAATTTCAATAAGGAATCAGATTAATCTTATGATGTAAAATTATGAGAATTTTGTCTGAGCAGAACACACATCCACATTGCCTAGCAACTGCACATTCAAGTTATGTATATATTGTTTAAAACAGCAACATTGTCTTCCAATTAAAGTTTTTAGGATTTAGTGAAAACCATGATGACAGATATCACTCAAGTTACCTCAATGGCATCAACAGTGAGGAGCAGAACAATGATTCTTTCAGTGAACCTCTGACGCTCTGCTGCATCATGAGCTACACGGCGGCGGTAGGAGAAGTTATTGAACAATGCTCTGATCTCCTTCAACTTGGACTTGGCAACTGCCAGATCTCTAAGGGCCCGGAGAGCCTGCGATCTGCGGATCAGATAAGCTCTGAAAGTCATCTGTATCATCATTGCTGCATCTTGAGGAGACAGCTCCTTCCTCTTACCCTTAGCCTTTCCACTAGCTCCAGCTCTCTTTGCAAAAGCCTACCTCCATCATCAAAAATCTATATTAATAAAGTGAAATGTTCACACTGACCCAACATAAACTAATCCAATTTATAACTACATTTTGTTTTTCTTTACATAAGTAAGAAAGAATCAAATCCTATGAAACCAACATTCTTTTTTGGCTAAACTCACTACAGTCTAACAATTTCAAGTCATACGAGATTCAGCTCAATCACTTATGCAGGGCTTAAAATGTAACTTCATATTACCTGTCTTAGAACGACAGCCCCATGATCAACAAGCTCTTCAATCTCCACCAGACGCGTGTGCGTGTCCCTCCCTTCCTTCTTTTCCTTCTTATCCTTCTTCTTTTTCTTCTCCTTCTCCTTCGTTTCGCTGCTGTCACTTGCATCATCCCCATTCGATGCTGTGAACGTGTACTTGCGCGAGATCTCTCCCTTCCCTTCAATCTCAGCCGTCCATCTGTACTTCTTGTCAGTCGCCTCCTCCTTCTCCGCCTTTTTCTTATGCTTTCCCTCTTTGATCTCCGTTGTCCATTTGTACTTCCGTTCAAGGCCGTGCTTCTCGGGACCCTTGATCTCCGCCGTCCACGTGTATTTCCGATCCCCACCCGATTTGACCTTGGCCAGCCGATCAAACCGCGACTCCAGCTCACTGACTCGGTCGCTCAGGCTCTGCAACAAGATCTCACTTCCGAGCCTCTCAACTCGCTGAATCAGCTTGTACGACAGAAGCGACGGCGTTTTGATGGGGCTGGGAGGACTGAAGAAGTCCAGAGCGTAGCCGAGCTCGTAATCCTCCTCAACATCTTCGAAAAATGACGGGAAAGGTAGAGCTTTAGGAGCGAAAATGGAGGTTGTTTCTCGGAGAAGAAGGGGAGGGCTGTAGTAGGGCTCGACGAGCTCGATCCTCCTGAGCCAGCTCATGGCGGAGCTGAGCGAACACGGTGATAACTCAGTGAGTCAAACTGAACGAGTTAAAATGATTGGTTACGCGGGTAGGCCTTCTTTTCTGTGATGTGATTTCGATGGGAGAATTGAAGATGGTGAAAGCTGAGGTTAAAACGAGTTACGAAATAGAAAGGCGACAAATTTGTGAAAGGTACGAGGAAAAGGATAAGGATACTGTCAAGGGTAGAATTGGAAATTAGACCTGGAAAGAAGCTGGTGTAGTAGGTTGATGACTCGGATCGGCGTCGAAGATGAGATTCGCCGCGTAATTAAGGTGGGTGCATGGACGGAAATGGCCCCAAGGGGATGTCGAATTTACAGCGACATGAGAATCTCTGACTGGGCAATCGCAATATTGTGCGAATAATGGTGGTGGGCATGTGAGCCTGTGATTTTTCTGACCCCACGTGAGGCTTTCGGCGCCGAACATGTTACGTTATGTTAGTCGTAGTCCACTGGACTCGGTCTAACTCTGGGCTGGCTGGGCCTTATTTACTAGTACTGTGGACACCCGATTTCTGTGGGCTCTCATTTTAAATTTAGAGTTTCTTTAGACACCCACACCCAGCACAAATTAAATTAGAAGTAGGCCGAAATTCACCGTTGTTTCAAACCCAATGATGCGTAGAAGAGTATAGCTCAAGCGGTTAAGAGTAACATTCCGAGTGGTCTGTGTTTGAAACACACCCAACAATTGTAACAATGGTGCAATTTCATCTAGTTGTATAATTATTGAAATTTGTGTGGTTGTTACCTAGTAATAGTGTGCTACCTCGTGTTTGAATTATGCATAACAATTTCAAAGAAATTGGAAAGTATTAATGACATGTTTATTTACTTAGAACGGGAGAAGCAACGAATCGAAGAATCGACTAATCGAGTAAGTCAGCAGCATGGGAGGAAAGGAAAGGGTACGAGATCAAGTAATAATTCCAGGTAAGTAAGCATGCATGCATAAGCCCTTTTCTGATAAAATTAGGAAAGGGTGTAATTGTCATTTTAATAAATAAAAAACACCGACGTGTCCTTGGTGGGAATAGGAATAATAGGCCCACTACCCAATCATCAACCGCCACTTCCCACTAATATAAATGTAGAGGCCTATCAAAACGCTTCAAAGTAACCGATACCCTCTTCCCATAATCTTTCTCACTCAGTCAGACACACGAACGATGGCGAAGAGATCCTTAATTTTGCAGAAGAAACTGAACGAACTGGAAGCCCAACTCAACCATGTCCTCTCTCTTCCGCCAGAAGATCCTTCGACGACCCCATGCCGCCACCAACTTCAGTGTTATGACATGGAGCAGAGGCTCGCCTTCTTGAAGACTCTGCTGTGCGCTGAGATGGCGTCCCATCCATCGAAGCCCCACCACTTGAAGCACATGGCTTGGAGACTCGGGGAACTCGAGAAAATCTTCCATGACTGGAACACTTTCACGTTGACCTCCGCGGAACTTGATCAGTATCATGTGGATCATAATGGTAATGGTGATGGTGGTGACGGCCGTTCGACATGTTCTTGCACCGAGTCCTGCCTCGACGACGACGACTGCAAGACATCGGCTGATGATAGCGTGATTGGCTCTCCGTCGGAGCGTAACGAAGAGGCGGCAGAAGGAGGCTCTGAAGTTGAAGAAAATAACAAGGAAATGCCGATGGTGGTGTTTAATAATTCTGTTTTTGAACATGATGAAGGTGAGGAGGAGATGAAGGAGAAGGTGACTGAAGATGAGGAGAGAGATGATGTGGTAGAGCTGATGAAGAGATCATCATCAAATAGAATATCAGAAGAAGAAGTAGAGAGGAAGAGAGGGAGTAGTGGGGTTGGGATGACGTGCGGGGCAATGGTGACTGGGTGGATGCTGGGGATGGTTTCCATGGGACTGGTGATGTTGTCTTCTTCAGGTTTCCTCTTTCCATGTGGAGGAGGAGATCACCAATATGGAAATTTTCTTACTCCCACTTAACTTTCCTTTTTCTTTTTCTTTCTGTTTATTGAATAGTACATGCAATATGTACATGTACTCCCGGATATTACTTAAAACGATAACGTTTTGGGGTTCTTTTGTTGTGCTTGCAATGCAAGGTTACTTTGATAAGTGTTTTTTTTAATGGATTATTCAAATAGATTAGGATTATTTAACAAGTAAGATAGTTAGAGGCTTGCTAACACACTTGTTTTTCGAGTTGTCGTATGCTAATTAAGGTGTCATTAGAATAAGTATATGCAGATTTTCATGGGGGGTTAGTCATATCATGGAATGTGTGGAGAAGATTGTGGCAAAATGCATGTGATTTTGTAGGGGATCAATTTGCCTCGACTCTCATACGCCTTGTGGGAATTTTGGGGATTGTATTGAACCGCTTAAGAACAGAAAGCGCCTTAGATCGATCAATATAGGACGCTGAGTTCCACAACAACAACAACAGTACTAAGCTACTAGCTAGTACTGTATATATTTTTCAAATCTTTATATATAATATATGTTTCTTTCTAATAGTAAGAGAAGCAAACTAATTGAAGACCAAATGATGATGTGATCTGAAGATGTAATTTTAAGTTCTTTTGTTGTGAATGGGCGGTGTCTGATGTGGTGGGTTATAATCTGTAAACACCACATTGTTTTGTACTTTGTCATTACTCTTGGAATCTACGGCTTCTTTATTAACAGATAGCAGCACCGATCTCCTCCTCCTTGCTTCTTCCTACATACAACATAAACATATGCATACCAAACATGTTAACATGTCCTTTTTTTCTCTTCTCTTTCTTTCTAATTTTAAGTGTTCATGGCTAACTTCTATGATGCCTGATAAGATCTGTGCTTTTGAGGTATATGATCTCATCAGGCATCCAAATCCAGCCAGATTCCCCTCATGGATTTCATGCATATATATATATACTTATATATGTGTGTGTGCGTGTGATATGACCAGTCCCTGGCAGGCAAGTGCACAAAGACAAATTACCCTACTGTCGCTCTCCAGAGACATAATGAAAGAGAGAGTTCCTGATGAGGAGGTCCCATAATCTCTGTGCTTGCTACCACATCTAGCTAAGCTAGTCCAAACCAATTCAAGTAACAACATCACTCCAAAAAGCCTTGCATAATGATTTACCTTGTTAGTGGTAGTAGTCCTTGTTGCTTTAAGCAAACCCATGTGATGACCAGAAGACTCTACAATCTGATCACCTCCGGCCTTTTCCATCCCTATTCAATCAAATCACAACCATAAGAAGATCTTTCGATCTTAAATAAATACGTTGATAAATTAACATCTAGGTGTACAAAACTGGAGATATCAGCATGGAACAAACAAGTATATGTTAAGTTGTAGCACTTTTAGATACACAGAGAGTCCTGGGAGATACATCAGATTCCAAGCCTATTTTATGCTCTTAGTTTCTGCATATACTCACAAAAGCCGTGAGACATAACTCTGGCCCATATTTTGAAAGAGAAGGAAAAAAGAGAGACCAGAAAAATAATGAATCAAGTTCAGTTATGGGATGGAGGACGTGTTCTTGGTCTTGAATAATCTGAGTAAATCCCAGGACTAGTAGTTTTGTCACCGTGGTTCTTGTCACGATTAATCTTGCCCGGCACAGGCCAAGAAACTGAAACAAGAGGCTTATTAACTGGAGGAACACCTGATTTTTGTGCTCTGCTTGTGAACTTCAGTCCCTTTGTAGCTCTAGTGATTGAGTCTTGAATGATTGCACCATGACCCTTTTCAGCTGCACCATCTTCCTTCTTAACTGAGCCTCCAGTTGAATCCATTCCAAGCCTGAACTTCTCCACAACCAGCAACACACCCTGAAGTTTAAAATTGAAAAATTATGCATAAGTTTTTGAACTAATTTTATACATGAAACTAATAGTCAGATGAAACTAGAGGAAAGTTGTGAATTTGAAAACCCTGAAACATAAAATAACAAACCTTGCCAGACTGCTGGAGTGACGCACCAAAACCCTCATGGCCAAGCCCAATATAGCGAGCCTCACATGCATGCATGGACAGACACAGAAGAAAGATCAAGAAAAGAGAAGACATGATGATGATTATGAGATTGAAATTACTCTAAATTTCAAGATTGAGAAGGAGCAGCTAGAAAGAAACTAGTCTATTTCAAGCTTTGATTTAAAAAAAATATATGGAGCTAGCAAGCAAGGGTTGCCAAGAGAAGATGTTGCTGATAGTGAGTGAAGAGACTTATGCAGAAAGAAAAACGAAGGTCTTAGCGGCTTGCATCACTTAGCTTGTCCACTACAAGAAATTAAATCAGGGACCACCAAAACAGAGACCACACACAGAGTAGCTAGATACTTAAAAGCTTTGAGAGAGAAACATATATATGTTTGTAGGGGCCGGACATATATGAGAAAATTAAGCCTCAACTTATTAATCGGTTGCAAAAGTGAATTAATTTAATCAGGATTATGATCTTACACAGATATAAAACAAATAATCAAACAGGAAGCATGCATGCTTCCTTCAGTTGCGGAACATGATTTCCAACTTCTCATGAATCAATCAACAGTACGACATAGTACTTCGTGTCCAACAGAGAAAAGTAGGTTTGTTGCAGCTGGGATTTTACTATTAGTCAATTCCTATGTTCTGCACTTAAAATTTGAACTGTGACCATATCATTAATTAAATAAATGTAGTAATTTTTTGCATTTTTATATGATTTATCCGCATATCTATCTTTTGCTCTTCATGCTTCACCCCAATTAGCATCGAATTAAGACGTTGCTTTCCCGTCAATGAAAAGTTTTTATGGTCCCAACTAATCAGCACAATCTTTTAGACAGTAATGTGCTCTGATCTGAAATGAACAATCTCAAAATCTCAGAGTAAAAGTATGTGATCAGTAAAATATATAACACAAGTTTTGGAGTTATGTCGTTGTAAATTCGAAATTCGAAGCATCATTGTCGGTAGGGTTTATAATATAGAAAAGACCAAAAGGCACAAAAGAAAATACACATGGAGGAGATGGAGGATAGGAAGTAGAATGACGAAGTTAGAGAGAGAAGCTGTTGATTTGTTTGTATCGAAAACCTCCTCAATTCTTTCCGTCAGATTTCTCATGCTTGTCGCTCCGTGTCTGTTGCAACTTGCATGCATTTGCTCTTCTCTTGCCCACCTTACTCTGCACAAAAACAAAGGGTTAGTTAAGTTTAAATCATCAAAACAGTAACTTCATGGAAATTAAATGTGTTATTTAATTGCCAAAGGACAAGAGCTGGTAACAGACAGAAGACACTGTTTTGAGTAGAAAAACAGGGGCATAGGGACATTTTTAAAAAAGTTATGGTAAAGTTGGGAAGAACCACGTAGATTCCCCAAATAGAATGGGAGCCCCTCCCCACACTAAAAATGGCTGCAATTGTCAATAACAACACAGACCGCATTAACAACCCCATTGACAATGATTCAGGTGAGAGGGAGACCACAAAAGGACAAAGTTAGAATATAGATTAATTAGTTGGAAATCAAGATTAGGGTGTGTATTAATCCGACCGAACCAACTAAACAGGTCGATTCAAAACTGTAATGACTAATTCAATTTGATTTTGACTAAGAAAAACGTCAAAGAGTTTCAAAATCGAACTGGACTGTGCCCACCCTAATCAAGATGAGTGAGAGTGATATATTGATGAAATGTCATTGCATTGGATATTCAAGGGTTTGAGAACATTTAACTACCAAGACGAATTGCTTTGGGTAGATACGTTTTTCTTTCTTAATTAATAGATTTTAACCAAAACTAATATGGTGTTAGCCAAAGTCGATTGCACATCAAGCCATCACCGACTTCTGTACGTGATTCCAAATTGCCACTTCGAGGATGTATTGGTTTCTCGACAATATTAACAGACAGAAAAGTCAAATCAGAAGAAAATCAAATATTGGGTTGGTTCGACACGCGCAGACCAGGGCTTATTGACGTTGACTTTATGAAGGACTACTCCTTTTGTTGTTTTGTTTACGGCTTAGACAAACCAACCCTCGGCGTTTGTGCTTTGACGAAACAACCCACCTCCTGTCCTCTACAAACCCAACATTCTTGGTCGCCTCAGCGCTGATGTCGTTTAGCCGGCGTTTTGCCGTTTGACTACTTTTACCTCCTGTCGTTCTACTTCATAATCTTTACACAACAGAGCAACTTTATACTACTAACACTGTAAAACACAACCGCACTAGTTGATGAAGAAAACAAATACACAATTGATTAACGAAAGAGAGCACAAAGGAGATTTTGTCTAACTTGTGTGGCCGCCAACTGAATGGCAAATTCAGAACCACATAGGGAAATAACAACCTATCCATCTGTAACCATACATCAACATTGAAAATTTATTTTTCACAGGGAATTACAAAAAAAGTAACTATACTTGTGCCTCTTTCCTTCTTCCTCTTAGTAAAAGTGATTCGGTGAGCTGCCTTTATGTACACTGGGGGATACAGAGAAAGATCTGTGGGTATTTAGACAACCTCAACTACTTCTCGAGTAGTTTTCAACACATTACAACAAAAGAAGATATAACGCCTTGTCACATTTGGAGAAGATTATTCACAGTAACCGTAACAGAATTTGTTCGCTGCAAATCCTACAAAATTCAATACGTTAAAGAATATAAAATGAAAGTAGAAACCCAAAGGTGAAGAACAAGGCTTCAAATGCAATGTTTATAAGACTGACATTTGGCAATATACTCTTATTAAAATAATAAAAAGGCACAATTGTGTCGTTAAAAAAAAACTGCACCTGGAAAATTAGGTCATCCGGCATATGAGGCAGAACTTCCCTCACTGTCTCAGCCATAGCAAGTATGTTTGCTAGGTTGTCATTCACAGTACGTGAGGGAGTTCTCATATGCAAGCTCCGTGCTCCTCCATGGTATCTTCCATCATCAGCAGGAGGATTAGATGGACCAGTTGCAGCAACCTGAGAGGGACTCATAGGCCATAGGCTCCAAGTACCATCTTCAAGGGCCGTCTGGGCATAAGTTTCTCCGACAGATGCAAGATGCCTCATCATCATCTGAACTCTCCCCAGTCCAACAGATCCGATAGCAGTAGAAGGACCTGCCCCATCAACTCCCTCACTTGGCCAATTATGCAACCAATTTGAATCCAGTCCTGCACCCCTATGCGGCATAAAGAAAAGCATGATATGTTTTGTGTATAATATTTGAACTTTTTTTCTTTCTGAAAATGACAACCAATTTACATGTTGTATTTATTCTCTCATATATTTCTTTTCTTGTACAGCACCTAGCAGATTCAAGAACAACAGCAACAGAAGAAATTGGTTGCTTTCTATCAGTCCCAATCAAATAGTTTAAGGGAGAAGCTAGGAGTGGTGGTCTGGTTATACATAAACTTTCAAGGATTCTGCAACCAACCAGAGTATTGTACCTTTTTCTGTATGTGCTGGAATCTAGCCACCGAATGAAATTTTGAACAGCATGCAAACCGGAATAAATTTTTTCCAATCTAACTTGAATATGTAGATGATAGCTGGTCTGATTGTACAGTTGGTGGCTGTTGGACCCCAAATCGGGGTTTTAGTCTTTCAACAAATTATAATTTATAGCACCATCTCTAGCCTCAGTAACAAGTTAACAGAAGTATTCTTTGCATAAACTACAGTAATCCTAGGTAAGGAAGCATACCTCCATGGACCACCTTCTGTAAGATTCTGAGCCTGATTGGGGAACGCACCAGTAGGAATTGTATGTCCAGAACTATTTTGTCGATCAAGTCCTGAACTTATTTGACGCGCAAGCTGCTCATCATTCGAAGTTTCTTCATTGCGGGGATTTACTTCATTTTCAGTTCTGCCTACAAAAAGTGGCTTGCGACAAGTTGGACATGAATATATCTCATTCAAACCTTGGTCCAACCTGCAATTATTAATAATTTTCATTATTTTCTATAAGGCATCACATGCTCTAAAATAAAAATAAAGGAAAAGCCAGGGTTTAATAAATAACATGAACCATACCAAGATCTCAAGCACGCAAGATGAAAAAGGTGACTACAGTGTAGTTTTTTAGCCTTAGCCATAGGTTCCTGATATTTTCCAAGTAAGTTAGGGAACCAAGAGAAAACTGAATGGTAAACAATTAGGGGAGAAAACCAAGCATACCCTACAAATTGCACATTCATCATCATATGTTCGTAGTTCTTCAGATGTTGCATCTGGAAGTGCTGCATGAAGAGCGCCCAAGGCTTTTCTTAGTTTGACGAACCCTTTTATACGTTTTATAATTGCACTTAGCAAGGCCTGCCCAATAATGAATACATAATTAGGAAGAAGATGATATTGGGGCATCAAGTACAAAAGAAAATAAATGTTCAAATAGAAAGTAGAATGAAATATTTACACAAATATTTACACGTATGTTTAGAAAAAGGATTGCATCCACTAGATGGAATGCCATGCCATGAAGCCACCAAATATGCACATAGTGACCAAGTGCCATTAACAATGTTGCCATGTCTAGGACAAAGCCCAAATTCCGAGTAAGACTGCCTTTCCATTCCAACAATAAACCTGCATTCAGACAGCGACATGAAAACAGTGACTATTTTATTAAACACATGTAACCCCGATTTACATCCTACAGGTCAAGTAATCCTTTACCCCATTAATAGGAGGGGAGAGAACACTGTACTATATAACATAAGAACACCCAAAAATCCCACTTGCAATGTGAGAAAAGAAATGTAAATTTGGAGAACTACCGGCAGCTGATGTATCAAATAATTTGGACCTCTCGCAATTTTCACTGTTCCATGCTGAATGATGGATCCATATATCAAGTAACTGAAATCCATGCACCAAAATAGCCTACAAAAACATTGTGATAAGTCAACCAACCCTCTCAACTAGAGTTCTAAAATTTCATAGAAAGCATGATGAAGTTATAAAATCTATTCATCAACAAAGTTGCCATGACATTACCTGCAGTGTTTCAAATGCAATACTGAAAGGCTCAAATAATAACAAGAGAAACATGGATAAACCCAGAGTTTTATATATCACCACACACAGCCTTATCCTGCAAGCACCGAACAAGATAATATGAGGCATTCTAAGTAATACGGACTTATGCAACAACAAAGGGGGTAAAACAATACCAGAAAACATCAACAGTGAGAACCAACAATAACACTGAATACACACGAAAATATGACAATGGTGTGGCAGAAGGAGATGCATTCAATCGTTCAAGTCGATCTCTAGCCAAAGCTTGAAACATCTGTACAAGTACAACATGCAAAAGATAGGTTAGAAGTAAGTTGTGGAGTTATATACTGAATCCATAAACACCATGTTCTTCATAAGAATCATGTCATATACCTTTAGAGAACAAAGAACAATCAACCAGACCGACCACAGGCCTGCATGATATATCGTAGGAGGAATAACCAGTGGTAGAAACGTGCCCTGTTTGATATTTATTGATGTGCATAAAGATATTATTGAACAATACATATTGGATAAAGGAGGAGTTATTGAACATTATTATAAAACAATTAAAACTGAAAATTTATCAAGTTGAAACATTGATTCTCTCCTCATAAGAAGGAATCATGTTTCCTTCTCCCATTTATAAGTAACTGACCACAAGTTAAAGCACTTACCTTGTAAATAACATAATTGATAAGGCGTTCGACCAATTTGCGAGTTTCAGAAGGATACAACTCCACAAAGAATATAGTCTGCAAATCAGAAACAAACATCAGAATAAGCCAACCAACCTTGCGGATATAAATTTCAATTTCATCCGAGGCAAACAGAGGCAATGGAGTAGTTTAGTAGCTCCAACATTCTTTTTGCTTGTTTGAATAGTAACCATGGATATTGCATTTCAACCCTAATTGCATCTGGTGTCTTAAATCAAACTGACCACCTCTAGAAGACACCATGTAGAAAACTTGTTTCTTATCATTACCTTCATCAAAGTAACACAAGAAAAGAAAGTAAATACAATAACATGGGCAATCACTAGAACTTGTACCAACAGCAATACCTCACATACAAAGAGCTTTGCACTAGGACCAATAAACTAATAGACCCACTGCACAAAATATTCAATGCTCATTCCCTAGTTAAGTATTCACCTCAGTTCATGCATCCATCAAACTAACAATTGTGTAACAACAGAAGTTTCAAAACGAGGTAGAAAATCACCTTGAGAAATAGAACGAGTAAAACAAATGCATTGAGTACAAAATTTGCCAGCAGTCCAACAGTGGCGTAAGAACCCAAAAGCAGATCAACTACATGTCCAAAATTGGCCGCAGGAATCAAATTATCTCCAATTAGTCCATCTGATTTTAGTTTAACTAAAGAAGTTTCTGTCCACAATTGGAGACCCGCAAAGCTTATCGCCGTACATACTGCAGAGATGGCTATATACCGCAAACCCATGTGTGACAAATTCAACCTCTTTACTAATAACCAACTCCAAAATTTTCATCACCACCGAATCAGCATGATCCCTTGCTGAGTTTGACCATAGCTTGCCATTGAGTTAGCTTCACACACCACCAAGCGTTAACGTCAACATACCATGGTAAATTCCAAGCTTACCAGGTAACCTGCCGAGCAAAAGCTACAATAATGTTCATTTTCTTGAATGAACAATAAATAACATTGAGACCACAATAATAACTAGGACGTGCTGTTAGGATGCTAAAAAATGTGTAACTATGAGATTTTAATTAAACAAAAAATTTGCTTTTAAAAACTAGAAAATTAATAACACTTTCAAAAAATAATTAATTAATTAAATTCGTCGAAATCGAAACCAGAATCGGCAACAAAATGTGACGAAATGGAAGTCCCCTAAACGAACGAGTTGCATACATACCTAAAAAAATGTAAACTCAATCAGAGGATCAATATTTTCTTCTAATTGCTATTATAAACTGCCAAAACATAAGATTGCGAAGCCCTATAATTCGAAGTCATGAAAACATGCGCAAAAACTTTAAAATCAAAGATGATTAGGCGAAATCAAGCATGAATCTTCCGCGTTTGGTATTAATTAAACGAGAAATAAGCAAAGATCGAGCGAATCACGGACCTGATTTGAGCTGAGACGACGCTGACGCTCTGCTAGCGTCGGTTGGGGTTTTCTGCAATTTTCACCCGCGTCGAGATTTTTTTCGCAGAAAAGAGAGAGACAGAGAGAGAGAGATTTTATTTTCTTTAATTTTTAATTTTCGGTTTTTATATTTTGACTGTTGAAGAGACAGTTGATAATATGCTGGGTCAATTTTTGCGCGAAGTGGAAAGCAAAAGCGAGAGGCACCTTCCCTGACAGGCAACGCTTGTTTTTGGGTTTTTTATTCGTTTTTTTAACTTTTTATTGGGAGGAAATAAAATAAAAGAACGTTTTGCTGAATATTATTACATTTTTGTATTAGAAAATTAAGTCTTCTCCCAAGAAGAGAAAGTGTTGCTAATTACTACACCTAGAACCGAAAAGATTTTCCTCCATATTTTTTCATGGATCTTTTATGTTTTAAAATTAAAGTTTACACACAAAAAAAAGGTTGAAGATGGAGGTCATTGATTGAATTGTTTCAATTCAATCTCAATTTAGTGATTTTTCTTCTTACATAGGTTTGAACTTTGAACCCACAAAGCATGATTAGATCCTACTACGCATTTATGAAAAATGGGTCTTATTAGAACTGCCTAATTCAATAATACTTTCTATTGTGGAGGTCAATTTAGTCGCGATAATTAATTAAATAAGGTTGATGGATTCAATCATATAAGGATATAGGATTTTCAATTATACTAAACTTACGTGTGGTCTAGTAGTTTTTCTTTCAAATATTGAAAAAAGTCTCAAATTCGAATTCCAATACATTATATTAAGTTATAAGGTGAATTTTGTATATTATGTAATGAATTTTTTTAAATCAAAATATTTATGATAATAAACCACAAGGCATGGTGCAGTTGGCAAACTGCCACCTCCAATTGGCGAGCTACCTAATGCCTCAATGGCAAGGATTCGAAACCCGTTGGAAGCACTTTGTGACTAGGGGCAACTCGAACTCTGAGCAGGATTAATCCCACCATTCGAGTGTTGGGACATTGTGGAATTTACCAAAAAAAATATATTTACGATAATAACTAATAATATTTGTTATAGTGAGATTGTTGAGTGTATACCTCGTTGTGAAAATATATTTGTTTAATCAAAGTTTATTCTTTGTAAAGAAACAAAGATTTTTTGGTTCATGTCGTGCTTGGGTTTACAACTAGCCCGGATAATAACTGAAAAAAATAATTGGAAAAATTGGCGCATTTGACAGTTGTACATGGATGACTGGGCACAAGTATAACTATTAAAAAAAAGGCGAAAACAGAGAATTCCAGAATTTGAGAGCCCAATTCTTCCCCATAAAAACCCGCGTATTCAAATCCAAAACCCTAGAAATCGCAGGGGATTTTGTTGTGGAGATTGAGATGGGGATAATTAAGAGCAGCTTCTCCTTCATAATGGGCACGGTTGCAGGGGTCTACATCGCCCAAAACTACGCCGTTCCTAACATTAGGAAGCTCGCCGATACTGCCGTCTTCATTGCCAAGCAATACGAGGAGAAGTACCGCAAGCCCAAGAAGCGAGACGACGAATAGGATCATTGGTTGTTCTGCGACGCCGTTTCGAACCCAGGTTATCGTTTTGGGAAATTCCTTTTTTTTAATATTTGTTCTTGCTTTTCTGGGATCGGTACCCCATGAAGAAAAATTTACTGAAGAAAGTGTTATAGATTATTTGTAATGAACTTGTTTCTTTCAAACTTCAATTTTAATCTTCAAATGAAAAATGTATATTCTTTTTCATTGTTATTGAAAAGTTGTGAAGGAGTTCTGTACTTTGTACAATTTATTGCTGCTGTGTCTGCATTTGTGTAAACATAGCTACATATGAAGCGTTTGAGTCAATAGTAGCTGTTGAGCAAAGATGCCTTCTGGATCATGATGCTTTTAGTGGAGAATCAAAGTTTTGCTTGATTGTACACACTTATTCTCGAGTGTCAAGTGAGAGTGTGCACTTTCACATAGTGAAAGTAATCAGCTGTTGAGCAAAGATGCCTTATGGATCGTGATGATTTTTCAGTAGAGAATCAAAGTTTTGCTTGATTTTACACACTTATTCTTGAGTGTCAAGTGAGAGTGTGCAGGTTCACATAGTGAAAGTAGTCAGCTGTTAGAGTTCAGCCCTTTTAGCAGCTTATTTTAGTGGGTAATGGTTTAGAGACATATGTGTATGTATTACACATGTAGTATTAATGAATGATATTAGATATTATGCATGAAAACCTCAAGCCCTCTAAGAAATGTAGATAGATTTTGCGTAGAGACGATTAGATAGGTCCCTGAATTTGGGACTTTTAAAGGGGGAAATATTCCTGCAAAGCAGGCTAAGGAGTCCAAGGTCCAAAAGTTTGGATAGAAATATGGAAGGCCATTGGCAAAGAGGCCAAACAGAGTATCAATACGCGCAGAGTGGGACTATCAGCCTTGGGTATGAGGGTTGGAGAACTTTCGGTAGAGTGGGCACAATGTGTGGATTGACACAGTTGAGGGCAAGAAGCTGGCTACTACTGTCAGGAAGGTCTGCTTGGCAGTGGTGGTTTGCTCAACTTGGAGTGAGAGAGATAATAGAATATTTAGGAATGAATCTTCTCCCCCTGCCCCTCTTAAATGTTGTTGAATTCTTTCATCAATACAGTCAGGAGTCAGGACAGATGAGTTTCTTATGTTAATTTCCTCACAGAGATGTTCCTCGGGAATGGGGTATCTGATGAAAGTTTGGTTGCCTCTATTTCTGCTTCTATCTTTTCATGCTGCTGGTACAAATTTGTTTGGTTGCTCCCTGCTTGTCCAGGGTCTTTCTTTATGCTCGTTTTAGTTTGATAGCTCCTATTCTATCCTCCTTCCCTACCCCCAACCCCCACCCCATCCCACCCCACAACACCCCACCCCAACACCCAAAAAAAGAGAAGAAAAATGAGAGCACTTCATTGTGTTGTATATTCTAAATGGGCTGGATAACATTTAAAATAAGATATTGAGGCCTGTGGTTCTGAACCCAAGTTGATGCCATTGCGAGTGAGAGATGACCCTAGCCCAGCCCAGCAAAGACCGTTTGTTTGGCTGCTAAACTACTGAAAACGTGTAAATAATGGGCAAAGGTCATCAGGTGAAGGCAATATTTACCTCTCTGTCATATCATATAGAGAAAGAGTCACAATGAAAAAAGGTCTAATGTGGCGGACAAGGTTAGGTCAAAAACTCATATAAAAATAATCGGTTAGCAGTATATTGTTTGTGGTTCATATGCAATTGGAATCTGATTAGCAAATACTTAAAGAGGTGATTAGTTTAGTCGTAGTGCTTGAATTATTAGGTGAATCATGCGGAGCAGGCAGTATCTAATTTGTGGTGGACATGAATTGGAATTGTTTATCTCAGTCGTTGTTGCTTATTGGATAAAGGGAAGGCAACATGCCACAGAAAACGTAGCAAAACACGACACCATCCCACACTAAATATTCTTGCAATTGCTATAAAACCACGAACTCCACCATCGCTTTAGATTCTGTCCCCAGCAATGTTATTCTTTATTGCCATGCAATAATGCACCAAACTTTCTAATTATAAAAAGAAAATGGCAAATAAAAAGTTACTATTATTCTCTCCAGATCATTCTCTCCAGATCGTTTTAGCTTTTCGATTGGCTTAAATCACTAAAGAAATTTTACCCATAATTATCATATTGTCATTGGGATGACTCCTTCATAGTATATGTCCTTAGTAAATAAAAAGAAATGGTAACAACTCCTTTTACCTTTCTTTCTTAATCAAACCCTTAAACTCGCTCTGTGCATTATGGAAAACTAAATGCCTTCACAGTAGCCAGCCACTCTAATATTCAAAGGGCCATTATTGGCTTTAGGAACCTTTACCCTCAAACAAATGTATAGGTGGGGTCTTCAAGCTTCCATGTTTCAATGAGAACACTGTGACCCAAAGTTCATGTAAAAGGCTCCAACTTCTTCTTCACAGTCGTTGTCATTGCTACCACCAATTATCTCGTTTTTGGGAGACAGCCATAGATAGTTTCCCACCAAACCTTCCTTCCTTTGAAGATGCGGTGGCGTGGCCATGAATTAGCTGCCTACCACTTTCTTTGATGCTCAAAATGGTTCAAGGTTTTTTGTGGAGAGGATTTAGCTATGCAAAAGGTTTTGGCCAGAATGAACTCGAGTTCCACTCCTTTGGTCCCACACAGGCAGAGAGGCTTTGTGTGGTCCTCAGCTGCTAAAACGCACAAACAAAAAGGGAGGCAAGTTGTTCTTGTCACAGAGCCTTGCTAAATGAAAGGATCAAAAGTTCTTTGCCGTACTATTTTGTTTGGTCATCATCACATCAACAGTGACAAAAAATATTGAACACACTTTATCACAAGACAAAACTATTTGTGGCAAGCAACTTTAGTTACGGTGGTGGATAGCTTTTTGAATACTTTTCCATGAAAATGAGAGGGGATCCTCTTCAAATCTAGAAGAAGCAAATTCCTGGTTTTCTCTTTTGTCACCCTGCATAGCGTTTGGTTGATGGCAACCAGATTTTCCAAACACAATATAGCAGTTTGGGATGAATTTGTCATCCTTCGGTGATTAATTTCATTAAAAGGCACAAAATAATGTACACACACATATGATATAGTACAAAGATACAGCCCTAGATATATTCCAACCCCTTTTCTTTTCTTCCCTTCAACTTTCCCTTCAATGTGTTACGTATACTAGGGAGAAAGTTTAAAAAAAATCCTCTCCTTCCTAGGACCATAACAGAGGATCCTTCTCCTCTTCATTGAATAAGCAGCAAGTCTGAAGCAGAGCTTGTGGACACCCCCGATGATACCACTCATAACAAATGTTGTAAAAACCCTTAGAACATCCTTCACACATCAATTACTGTGGGTTGAGACCTTGATGCAGACCGCGATCTCGAATCTTCAATCTTTGCAGCCACTTCGGCCACGACAAGCCTAGTCAGAAGCAGCCCTGCAATTAGAGCTGCTCCCATTAACATTGTGAAAACTCCACTCCAGCTTATGGCTGAAATATAGCCGGTTAATAATGGACCAATAGCAGCCCCAATGGAGCCTGTTCCATCTATAATTGCTGTTACCGTTGCCAATGCCCTCGAATTCCCACGCAATGAGCTATGTGTTCCCAGGTCTGCGGACACAGCTGTTGTTATTAGAGCATATGGCCCATTAACAAACATGCCGGTGATGAACATAAGTGCAATGTTCACAGCCATGGATACATGGCCATAGCTTCGGTAGAAAAAGAGAGCAGGGATAGCACAGTACATGAAACTTGCAGCTGTGATGGCTCTGGCATCTAAACGATCAGAAATATGGCCAGCAAGGATTCCTCCAAGAACTCCTCCAACATCGAACAATGTGGATAAGTTACCAGATGCCTCACTGGATAAGTACTTTCCGTCAATAGCTGCAACATGTGTTAAAATGTAAGTCAGCTAATCACAAGAGTATGCCGTGTTAAAATGTAATGTGAGCCGAGAAAATGTGTTAAAATGTTCACAATGACTGAATTTTGAATTGTTGACAAACAGAAATATGCTACTAGCCAGTTAAAGAGAACTCCCTCCAAAGACTAGACACCTACACACCACATGTAATGGTAGAAAATTTTCAGTGAAAGTTCAGTTTCTTTAACTTCTCTGGCAATGCCCTTATCATATTTCAGTAATAATATGCCCCCATAAAAAAGCACATCAAGAAATGCTCTTAACATAACTACAAATGTGAAACAGCAAGGAAGTTGAATTACCTGTGTTACTAATGTAGAAAGGAAGCCAATAGAGAAATGTATAAGCCACCAACTTGGAAAAGAAAAGGCATAGAGCAAAAGGAGCAACTCCAGGAATTTTCCAAGCTTCTAGGAACCCCACAGCACTCTCCTTCACCTTAACCTCTGGTTCCAATAATGGTTCTGTTACTCCTGCTGCCCCACATTTCTTGGGAGAGTCCAATTCATCTTCTTCGGCTCCAACAGAGTCAGGACTAACAGGCAAGAATAGAAAAACCACCACACCAACAGTAGCAATTATGAGACCAGGGACTACAAAGGACCAACCCCACCCGTATTTCAATAGAGCGGAAGCAACCAAAGACCCTGTAATGTTCCCAACAGAAGTATGAGCATTCCATATACCCATAATCAGCCCTCTTTTCTTCTTCCCAAACCAATTACCGACAACTGCGACTACTGAAGGCCATCCAGTCGATTGGAACAAACCAGCAAGCATTTGAACCCCAAGGAAGTAATAGAAAGTGTGAATATTTGCCCAATATCCAATTCCAAATAATGAAGTAAAGACCCCGGCTCCCACCATTCCGATGGTTAGAAAGATCCTTAAGTTCGTTCTATCACCCAAATGTCCAGAGAAATACATTCCTATAGCATATACAGCCAAGAAAGCTAGGTCAACTTCACCAAGCAAGGCTGTGCCATCTGATCCATTAAACGGGGCCCAACCATCTCGAAGAATCCTAGACAACCTTCTGCCTTCAGCTGGTTCACTTAAGTAAGTCATCCTCCATGGGAAAAACTTCAAGCTCACATCTGAAGATTCAGGATCAAGGGTACTCTTGACCACGCTCGTGGTTTTTCGAGCGGCATGATAGCTAGCATATGCTAAAAAAGTAACAATCAGAACAATGGCTTGGTGGGTTTTGTAGGAAAGGGGGGATTTCTTTATGTACTCTAATAACCGAATCCCTGGGGGTTTGCTGTAATTTCTCTCTGGTGCTGGCTCTGACATTGAAATCATGAATTGATTTTCACTCCAATATTAAGGGGAAGAAGAAGCTCTACCTCCTCTTATCCAGCAAAACCTTCAAGCTAAAGAAAGAGTGAGTCAGTAACATACAAGATGGCAATCCCACAAACAACAAGAACGGAATTAACCAATGAAACTACCAATTCCTAAAATTCTTTGAACTACAAATTCATACCAAATATCTCACAGTTCCATTATCTTGAGTGGGGGAACAAGCTCAATTTGACTTCTTTAATACCAATTCAGAACTTCTAATCAAATATAAACATACTTCACTATCAATTCCCTGATTCCCAACTTCCAAACATTCTTGCCAAAGTCAGAGGCTGGTTCAGGTATTTAAGAGAAAGTAAATGGCCTGAATGTCAATTCACTAGGAAATTCCCAATCGAAGTTTTCAGCATTATCCATAATTCCAGTAGAAATTCAATAGATTGGAACAGAAAAAGAAACCAGATTTATAATCCTGATAAATTTCAAAAGAATCCAAATCAATCTAACTTAAAGATCATGCAGCTGAACTAAAGCCATCCGCATCTCGAACTACCCAGAATTACAGGGGAAAAAGCCTTGAGACAGGAAAAAGGAACATTTTTAACAATCAGAACTGAAACTGTGACTCACCTAACCAGAACAAAGCATGAAACTTTGAAAAAAAAACCCATTTATAAAAATCTCCTGGAAAAAGAAACACAAAAACAAAAACCATCCACGTTCTCGCCACAAACAAAAAATAAATAAAACGGTAAAGGGAAAATACAAGAATCTTATCGTTTGACCAAGCAAATTGGAAACAATCAAAAGAGAAACACGAGAATCTTTCTTGCTTAGAGAGAATCAACGTTCTGAAACACACAACAAATTGAAAAAATCCAAATAAACAAACAATCAAAAGAGAACTACAAACGGTCAAAAAGTTTGAAAAAAGAAACATATCCAGCTGAAAATTACAAGGATATTTATATATACAGGGTGAGGAACATATACCTATTTAGCTTAGCTGAGCGAGCCTGAGTGTAATGCTTTCTACTATATTCTCTCGCGAGTCGCGAGGTTTCTGTCCTCAAAATCCTCTGGTTTTTCGATGTAAGTTGCTCAACAAACAACTGCTTTGGTACGAGCTCTTTAAAGAGAATGCGCAAACCAACGTGAGCTTCCGATGCGGGAGGGTAATTATATTTTATGATAGTGAAATCCCCACATTGTCCCCGGTTTCCCTTCTTGGTCCTCTTTCGCTGGATTCGGATTCTCAGCTTTGGTAACTGACGTCGGAATCTGAGTTGACGAAAATACCCTTATGGGAAGTGATTTGTCGTGTTTGCAATTAGCCTGTTGGCTCTGAAAGCACGGGAGGGAAGTGATTTGTCGTTTTTGCAATGTTTTTCGTGAGATTAACGCCATAAAGTAGGATGACTTTTTAATTGGCTTTTGGAAACGACACAGCATTCTGGAAATTCAGCGTTCCAAAGCCACTAAATTTACGACAACAACAAAAAACGACACATGGACACATGTAATTACAGGTGTCAATAGAAGCAGGGCAAAGACGACACCGTTTTGTGTCGGTGAAACTGGTCGTTCAACATTTTGGCAATACTATACACAGGCACTTCTTAGTTAAAAAGGGCAATTTGGTTAAATGGATCAAAAGATCACCACCTCAAATAGCGTGGCAAATTCGTAATTCTACTAACCCAACCGGGTGCAGCAATCGTCAATCCCACTGGGCCCACCACATTACAAATAGAGAGATGCTGCGGGAAGAATCATGGAAAGGAATATCCGCATATCCAAACCAAATTATCCGCATATCCAAACGGAATTATACCTGACGTGCTTCCTATATATACTTACCCCGCCAAATCCCGGGCCTACAGTGCCATGTAGGTAAAACACGTGCCCATGACGTGGCGAGGCGGATGGTTAGTGGATGCTGTTTAAGCACTTCAATGATGCACTCTCTTGACGACACGTGGCAAAGCATGCTTGGCCCTGTGTAGAATGCAGGTCTACATCAGGATCAGGACAATCCAATACGACCGCGAAAGGAGACACGTAGAAATTAGGAAGAAACTTCGTTTTTTTTGTTTCGAGTCGACGTCTTCGGGGCTGTTTTGGATCATATTATTTATTTATTTCGGCCTCATATTATTTATAAGGGTCTCTTTTACTATCGCATTAATTGATTCGGTTCAATCTTTTTATATTTAGGGAAGTTTCTTAAGTTGTTTTGTTGTCTACAACCATTGAATTTGGGTAATAAAAACGATGGGGTAGAAACCTGGCCCAACCGAGAGGACCACAACAGAGCGTGAACGATGTTCTCAGCTTCTCAGAACTGTTGAACAAATTTCAGCTCAAACCCAGTAACTATAGCGATGAAACTTCTAATTTGTAGAATCCAGGCGACACATGATTGCATTTTTTCCTCACAAAAAAGAGACCCCATTTTGTATGTGCACTTAATCTAGCAGCTGATAATAAGTTTCAATTTTATTTTTATTGGGGTAAGACAAACAACTTGATATGGAAGAGACGAACGCCAACGTTGCCATGTAGAAGCATTGTTTGCTTTTCTTTTCTGATGATATTATATGATATATTTTCAGCATAATATGTTATGCTCTACTCTAGTGCCACAACATTGATTCATGAGATTGTGGTTTTCATTTGACCTTCTTCTTCATCTGAGGTGTTTTCAGCATAAGACCCATATAAACATGGAGCACGTTGAAGAAATATCTCAACAAGCAAAGTTGTCAAAAAAAAAGCTCGCTTGTGGCATGGGTATATGATGTAGACAAGCAACTCGAGGAACATATAGAATGCAATGGTTGTTGTAAGACTGATTATAGTCAACTTCAACTGTTAAAGTTGCCTGGGATAATAATGCTTCTAAAAGGAAGGAATTGTGAACTAAAACAGATTGAGAGTAGTGGGCCTGGGCCTAGGCCAAGTCTGAAAGATTGTGAACTATTCACAATTCTTTAATAAATCGTAAATCGTGAAATATCAAACATTCCTTATATGAGAACTCATAAATTGAGTTACAAAAACATTTTAACCAAAAATAAAAGAGTTACAGAAACAAAAATCCCAAACATTAAATGCTGAGCAAAGAAAAATAAGAAATATTGTAAAAAGTATTTTACATAACACAACTTGGTACAACCCAAATTGAAGGTTGTCTACTCTTCTTTAGTAAGATCTTCACATCCTCGGTGTAGGGTTTTAAAACGCTCTTGTCTTTCACATTGTACACAACATAATCATGAGGTCCATAATATGAGAAATCGTTTGCTGTACGGTTATTATAGTGATTGAAATAAATGCAATTCGAACGACACCCCAACTTTGAAGCCAAGACACATATTGAAGAGCTATCACCCACAAAAAGAGCAACATCACCTAAAGTATTTTTCTCGACCCACTCAGACATTTTGAAATTCAACTCGAATATTCTAAATTTCCTTGTGAAGCGTATGAGAGGGATATATTCAAAGCACTTTTGAACCATCAATATTTTGTTCTCATTAGAAACCACAAGATATCTCTTATAGTCATATCCACGGCTTGGTTGCACGCCCTGTGCAACCAAATTCACATTTAAAATGGATTGAGTAGTAATATCAAAAGAATAAAAGACCAAATGATGATGATGTCATTTTAAGTTGTTTTGTTGTGAATGGGCGGTGTCTGATGCAGTGGGTTATAACACATTGTTTTCTATTTTGTTCAATGATTTCATTAATTTTATTGTTGATTTGCTTGGCAGCTCAACAAAATGAGCTACAACTTTTGTGGATTTCAATCCGATGTTACTTACGCGTACTTGAAACACATGATGTTCTCAGAGCGTGAACGATTTTTGCTCACTACTTTAACCGAAGGTGTACCCTCAACACCCTTCTCAACATTTGACACGTGTCCTTTGGCATAACCATCGTTAACTCTTTACTTTGTATTTATGCAACCATGGTTATGTCAATAGACATATGTCAAGTGTTGAGAAGGGTGGTGAGGCACCTTCGGTTAAAATGGTGAGCAAAAATGCTCCCAAAGTAAAATGGTATATTTTTGCTCACCACTTTAACCAAAGGTGTACCCTCACCACCCTTATCAACACTTGACACGTGTTCCTTGACATAACCATAGTTAACTCTTTACTTTGTATTTATGCAACCATGGTTATGTCAATAGAGACATGTCAAGTGTTGAGAAGGGTGGTGAGGGTACACCTTCGGTTAAAATGGTGAGCAAAAAAGCTCCCAAAGTAAAATGATATATTTTTGCTCACCACTTTAACCGAAGGTGTACCCTCACCACCCTTCTCAACACTTGACACGTGTTCCTTGACATAACCATAGTTAACTATTTACTTTGTATTTATGCAACCATGGTTATGTCAATAAACACATGTCAAGTGTTGAGAATGGTGGTGATGATACACCTTGGGTTAAAGTGGTGAGCAAAAATATACCATTTCACAGAGAAAATGAGCAACAAGTACAAGTGTGACATGTGTGGGGACTCAGAGGGCCTCTCTTTCAACATTATAGAATTGGCCAAAAATTTCCGAGAAGCTCATGGGAAGTTCCTATGCAATATATGCTGCACGTGATATGAGAATTATAATGGGTTTAAATCCCATTATAATTCATACCATCATGTAAACTACAAATTCTGTGATGCAGAGAAGTGTCACGCTCCGATTGTGGACAATCGCACCTACAAGAACCACAAGAAGTCGTATGCCAAAAAGTGAGCAACTATATGTTTGGTAATATAAATTTCTTATCATATATATGAATTACAGTTTCATGGTATTGCATTTTAACTCATTTGTGGAGGATATTTTACACTTTAATCATGATCAAAATTTGAGCAGCAAAGTAAAATGTGACCATTATTATTAAGTAACATATTATGTTATATTAAATAGAATCTAGAAACAATGAAACAAACATACACACAATACAATCGTGAGCTCTCCTTGTATAGGGGTAAATTTGGAATTAATGACATAAAGAAAGGGCATGTGAGCTCTCCACTCACACTGTTGACCTGTTTCATTTCATAAAAGATTTTTCACCACTTTAACCGAAGATGTACCCTCACCACCCTTCTCAACATTTGACACGTGTCCCTTGACATAACCATAGTTAACACTTTATTTTGTATTTATGCAACCATAGTTATGTCAATAGACACATGTCAAGTGTTGAGAATGGTGGTGATGGTACACCTTCGGTTAAAGTGGTGAGCAAAAATATACCATTTCACAGAGAAAATGAGCAACAAGAACAAGTGTGACATGTGTGGGGACTCAGAGGGCCTCTCTTTCAACATTATAGAATTGGCCAAAAATTTCCGAGAAGCTCATGGTAAGTTCCTATGCAATATATGCTGCACGTGATATGAGAACTATAATGGGTTAAAATCCCATTATAATTCATACCATCATGTAAACTACAAATTCTGTGCTGCCGAGAAGTGTCACGCTCCGATTGTGGACAATCGCACCTACAAGAACCACAAGAAGTCGTGTGCCAAAAAGTGAGCAACTATATGTTTGGTAATATAAATTTCTTATCATATATATATGAATTACAGTTTCATGGTATTGCATTTTAACTCATTTGTGGAGGATATTCTACACTTCAATCATGATCAAAATTTGAGCAGCAAAGTAAAATGTGACCATTATTATTACGTAACATATTATGTTATATTAAATAGAATCTAGAAACAATGAAACAAACATGCACACAATACAATCGTGAGCTCTCCTTGTATAGGGGTAAATTTGGCATTAATGACATAAAGAAAGGGCATGTGAGCTTTCCACTCACATTGTGGAACTGTTTCATTTCATAAAAGATTTTTCACCACTTTAACCGAAGATGTACCCTCACCACCCTTCTCAACATTTGACACGTGTCCCTTGGCATAACCATAGTTAACACTTTATTTTGTATTTATGCAACCATAGTTATGTCAATAGACACATGTCAAGTGTTGAGAATGATGGTGATTGTACATCTTCGGTTAAAGTGGTGAGCAAAAATATACCATTTCACAGAGAAAATGAGCAACAAGAACAAGTGTGACATGTGTGGGGACTCAGAGGGCCTCTCTTTCAAC